TGATTCCGAATATGTTTTCCAAATTTGCTACGGACCGTTATTCTGAAAGTTATACGGCAATTATGACCCTAGTTTTCACCAAAATGAAGGTATCGTTATAGTTTTCGATTTTCTTCATTAATTTCAACGTCAAAATTGACTAGACGTTGGCTCGACAAGCATCCCAAAGCTCAAAACAAGCATTTTAGATCAAAAATGAGATTTTTATGCAAAAAGCAAAATAATGATGCAGGGCGGGGGTTCGAACCGCCGCCCTGCGCTTGGCAAGCGAGTACTTTGCCAATGCACCATGGTGCCAACTGGGTAGGGTGCTGTCAGAGGGTACTTCAGAGCCCCTGGGAACCATAGCCCCAAACAAGGAATAGTGGGCCAGCATCTGAATTTTTGGCATTTTTCGGCCTCATTGTTACCAAAAAATGATTTTTTAAATAAAAGTCCGTAGCAAATTTGGAAAACATATTTGGAATCAGCGAAAAATTCTGCACAAGAGGCGCTTGGTCCCGAATCGAAACTCTAAGTTGAGTAAAAACACTTTACAGTAAGCCTGAGCCCGAGCCTAAATCAAGCCTACGCCTAATCCACGAATAAGCTTAAGTTACCTGTCCCATCCCTTTAAAGCCCACCACGGTACCCTCTACCAAAATTTCCGATGCATGCATACTTCCGATAATTGGCCCTTCACACCCTCGCACCCTTCCCGGAAAGCTGCCCTGGGCCCACAATCATCCGCGCGCAATTCCGCAAATTGTCCGCGTGGGCTTGCTCCCAGTTTCTCCTCCCCAAAATCGAGAACGGCTCCAGAGAACGAACGCGAGAAGCCGGGGGCTTGGTGCCAGCTGGTGGGTCCTAGGGGGCGGAGCTTCGCGTCTCTCTCTCTCTCTCTCCCTCTCTCTCTCTCTCACTCTCCGCTCGAAAAATCAATCCCAATTTTGCGTGCCCCCAGGGCTTTTGCATAGCGGGGGGCAAAAAGGGGGGTTTCGGACTCTCGCGCGCTAGGGGGGCGTTCCAAGTTGCGTGGCGCGCGCGGTAAACAGCCGGCTGGCACGAAATGGTGCCTCCCGGGGGTGGGAGAGACGTCTGGAGCCTCTCAATCTCGAATGCTCACTAGCTAGGTGTGTCCCTCTTGATTTCCGGTGTTCTCTCGTCGCGCACCCTGGCGAGATGCGACCTCCAGGATTTGCGTACTCTACCAAGGGAGGGAATTTTTAAAGGGATGTGGAAGGATGAACAGGTGTGAGATTTAGAGAGTCGGAGAAAGAGAGAGAGAGAGAGAGAGAGAGAGAAAGAGAGAGAGAGAGAGAGAGAGAGAGAGAGAGAGAGAGAGAGAGAGAGAGAGAGAGAGAGAGTTAGCGTGGCAGGGAGCGAGAGGCCGAGATCGATTCCTACGGGGCTGCTAAAAAAATGGAGTACTCAAAATTTTCAAAATGCGATGCGGTGAGCCATAAGAGGAAGACGGCGAGAGGGAGAGAGAGAGAGAGCGAGAGAGCGAGACAGCTAGAGAGATATAAGGAAAGCGAGATAGAGTGCGCTAGAGAGACAGAGAGCTTATTTAGTATGAGAAAACGCATTGCTTCGTAAATTGGGTCGAAAATGCCTGTATATCTAGCTCTCTAGCGCTCTCTCTCTCTCACATCTTCTCGCTCAATTCGAGGTGATCTCTAGCCTCTGGCTATAAGCTGACCGGATTCATAATGCAGCTTGAAGTCCTGAAAACTCATTTTCTCGCTTTCTCTCCGTTTCCTGCACTCACCCTTCCCAATACCGTACCCAGCCTTCCCAACCGGCCCCAAAAATGGTGGGCGACCCTATTTTTCCCTCGGGCCTTTTGGTGTATGCGTTGTTTGTGTGTTTCTCCCGCTGTCGCTCTCTCCATCTCCCTCTCTCTCTATCTCTGTCATTCACGTTGTGTGCGCGAAGGACAGGCGCACAAACAGCGCGCACCACCCGAAAACAATCTCCAACGAACGAACGCGAGGAGGCAGAGGCACCCCCTCGGGGTATGAGGGAAGGGAACGGCTACGGAGGGATCCGATAGACACCCCAGTACGGCCTTCCACCGAACAAACCCCCGCCGAGCCACTTTCCCCCCAGTCGCAGCCCACCATTTTTGGGGCATCCGGCCTTATATGAGGGGGTTGGTGGGGGAGGGGAGGAGGAAAATGGGATCGGAAAAATATTCGGGGTTCGGGAGGGTGAGTGGATATTAGAGCTGAGGGACCGAAAAATATGAAAGGTATCTGCAAGAAAAACTTTCAATCATAGCGGAAGCAGCCATTCCTGAGGATTCATGAGAATTCTTTGTCGCAACGGGAAGACGCAAAAATACCGACAATCATGTTCCCGGGAGTGGAAATCCCGACAGCCGAAATCAGACTTTCCCAATCCCGAGAGACATAATCCCGACAAGCCAAAATCCCGACATGCATAACGCAATTACCAAAATCTCTACAGCCAAATTCCTGTAGCCAAAATCCCGACAGACCAAAATACCGACACGCAAAACTGTTGTGTAAAGGGAGGTAACATTGAAACTTGACGTCAAGAACAGGATTCTGGCTGTCGGGATTTTGGCTGCCGGTATTTTGACTGTCGGGTTTATGGCTGACTGCTGCATCGCCGCGATTTCCGTAAATGTAAAATCCATGGGCTTGCAGACGTCCTCTTGGAACGAATTGCTTCCTTTAGATTTTCGACCGCCTTACAGTCCTCCATCTAAATATTTTTTAGGGATTTTTGCCAGGTATTTTCAGAGTTGCTCTCCAGTTTCTTATACCTTTCGAACGAATCGCTCCCTTTCATTGCTCACCGTTATCATTCGAGAAACGCGAAACCTCAGCGAACAGTCAGACCACTTTTCCGGGGGTACATCCCGTTCCGGCCACCCCTCCCCATTGGAAATGTCGTTGACACCATTCTCCCTTTATCACCACACCCCAACCCCTGGTCAGGCGCATCGCCGCAAGCGAAAAATTTGGGGGTGTTAAACTCGGGGAAAGCTCGCAAAACGCAAAGCCCGCAAAGCGCCTGGGGGTCGCGAACCGGTGCGCTATCTGCGGTGGGAATTTGGGGTAGGAACGAGAGAAAGGGTCCGCAGGGCGAGAGACAGCTAGAAATTCTAGGTCGTAGACAAAATCCAAGCTTACTAGAGACTCGAAAACGTGAAGAGGATTCTACGTGATACTAGAGACCGCCCATAGCACCATAATAACCGAGAGATCAAGAAAATGCGAAGATTCTAGACGTAAAAGACATTTTAGACTACACTATGATACCCTAGACGCAGACACAACGCACGTTCGAGACATCAGAGACCCAGAGAATTGGTACCCCCTCTAAACAACGCTAGAGAATAAGAGACACAGACGGCTAGCCATGGCGAGAGTCTCGAGCCAGGGTACCGGCTGGTGCCAGCCGAACACTCGTATGCAAATATCGGGCGCCGTCGGCGAGGGCTCGCCTCCGCTTTATTTCTCTAGCTCTCTTTCTCGCCGGCCCGCTTTCTATCGCCCGGCCGGGACCACCAGCCGAGAGTCGGCATGCCCAAAACACCCGCGGGGTCGAAGAGGGGATGAATGGGGGTCGGCTGGAATTGTGGAATTGAGAAAGGTAGATGAAAAAGTCCTAGAAAGAGGTGTGGTTCTCGGTACAAGTAGGATAAGGGGGGGGATTTTGGCGGGGGAAACCAACTTTTCCTGGTCGGCCCTGGTGGGGATAGTAATCAAATATAAAGTGTTTTCACATTGTTTTTAGCAAAATTTAAGCCTATTTGAATCCGAAATTTTTTTTAAAAAGTTAGAAAAACGCTTGAAAAAGCCGAAAATTTGGTCATTTTTGGGCCGAAAAAAGTGATTTTTAGACCTAAAATTAAATTTTTTTAATTAAGTTTTGTAAAGTTTTTATGTTTAGGAATAGCTATAAACAATTTAGAAACACTTCGATTATTTATATAAAAAAATAGGCTTGAGCGGAAAAAAGTTGGTTTCCCCCCCGCCTAAAATTTTCCCCGCCGCTTATCCTACTTGTACCTGGTTCTCTTACAAGTTGCCAACATATCCCATCTTTCAAAAACTGCTGATCTTCGGGGAAAGGTGTCTCAAAATCTACATTTTGTGAAGCGCCAGCGAAAAATGCGCATAATCGGCCCTTGAGCGCAATTTTTGAAAGATGGGGTTTCTGCAGACTTTCGAGTTCGATCCAATCACACCTAAAACCCACTCCTTATTAGTACAGCCATCTACATAAAAATATAAAAACGCAAGACTAACGAATATGTTTTGAAAATCATTAGCTGAGCCAAAGCACGCCTACGGGCACCGGTTTGGCTGCAAGTCCCCCGAAAAAGTAGATTAGCGTCACATGAACTATCAGATAAATGCCCCCTTTCACTTGAACAATACACCTGGAAGTAAATAAACCTATTTAAAAACATACATCAAGTCTGGAAAATAAATTAAATTTTAAACAGCAAAAAATCCGACAAAAAGCAAAGCATCAAGGTATAAAAAAGGTGCTGAAAAAGGTGCCAAATGGACTAGAAAAAATTTTCAGGGGTTGCAGTTTCAAAATGGCGAAAAACTCCACGATTTTATAGCGAAAAAGCAACTTTCACCGAGCTTCTCAGATTTTTTGGGTTTGATGGGACTACGCGAGGCTCCTATCGACACCGGATTCCGGTGCAGTCCGCGCATACGGTGGAATTCCTGCTCGGGGTTTTTCCGAGTTTCCGGATTTCGGCAAAATTTGAAAAATTATGGAAAACAGAAAACTGCGTTCTGTCACTTGCAATGCTTGTAAATTCGTTTTTTTGACAATTCATACTTAGCTTTCTTCGGCCAGCCGGGCCAATTTGCAAAAAAAACTCGGTGAATTTGCGTTATTTTGGCTTCTATCCGCTTTCTGAAACCTTGTTCAAACCGTTCAGCCTTTCATTTGTTGCGTCCTGATTTATCTTCCTGATTTCAATTACTGTTTTCAGGATTGCCTCGTGAAGTGCAACGATAATGCAGGCAAGCCCAATCTACGCCGCTACTTCCACCAGCGCCTCGTCGATGACGCCCAGCTCGGTGGCCTCGCCCTCGACTTCCGGAAGTGAAGTTCGGCTGGTATGTCAATCTATTCCTTTTCCGAGCCTATTTTTTAGCCGACGCGCAAACGCGGTCATCGCAGCTCGCTCAACTATGAGAAAATGCCGCCGCGTTTCGAGGGGAAAGTGCCGTTGGAGCTGATATCCTGTCAGCGTCTCCTCGATTCGCTTCTGGAGCGCAAATGCAATGTACGAATTTTTTATTTGTGGTTAAATTCGTTTTAGACATTTGCTTGGCCGTTCTACGAGCCCGTCGACCCGGTCGCGCTAAAGATCCCGACTTACTTCGACATCGTCACGCACCCAATGGACTTGAGCACTATACGCCAGAAGCTGTCGTACAAGTATGCTTTTGGTTTTTTGTCAATTATTGTGTTTTTAGGCAATACATCAACGCAGGGGAGTTCCATGACGATCTCAAGCTCATGTGCGAAAACTGTTGGGCATTCAACCGGCCGGGCGATGTGGTTTACGTGTGTGGCGAGCAGCTTTGGAAGTTTGTCGAGAAGGAGTGGGACAGATACTTTGAGGATGGCAAGCCAAGATCGAAGCCCAAGGTATTTTTCTTTTAATTGTTCAATTTCTTTTTTTTCAGAAGCCTCGTCTGGGCGGTCTTTCGGTTCAAGAGTGCCTCGACCGACTGTCAAGGGAAGACGACATCAGGCGCAACTGGCTCTACAGAGCCACAAAATTCCGCGAAGAACTGAATGCCCTGGCCGAGAGGAACAAGGAAATGCCCACGGATTTGAGGAAGCGCCTTGATGAATTTCTCGGCAATGCTCCAGCTAGTGCTGCTACAACGCCAAAGAGTCGTAAGAGGCCAACGCATGAGGTAAGCTATCTTTCATTTTTTTATGTTTTTGTAGGTTGTCTCCTCGAACGGATCGGAAGTCACGTCGCTGACTGTGGAGGAACTGAATCGGATCGTAGAGAGAATTACCACTCTTGACGATGTGCAACTGGTCGAAGTGGCCAAGCTGATTCGAATCGGCGAAGAAATGGTCAGGATTTTTTAATGTCTTTGTATAATTTTGCCGACTGGGCCGTTGTCTCAATCTCAGTGGCCATTTCTATTTATCGATCAGTTTAGCGTCACTATCTTATTTTCAGGACGAGCTGAGACTGACCGAAGGGTTCGAAATGGACTTTCACAAGATGAAGCCAGCTACGGTGCACGCGATCCACGACTACCTCAACAAGCTTGACGCTTACGAATCCGTGCAACACACGCCACACAGCAGCAGCTCCACCTCGTCGGACTCTTCCAGCGACGATTCGTCAAGCGAAGACGAAACGAAAGCGCCATAATGCCCTAAAGCCTTTGCTTAATTAGCCATAGTTAATGTAATAGCCGCGTTAGTTTTATATTTACCCAGATCTTTCACACGATTTCTTTTGTTGTCCCCAATTTACCCCCCAATCACGTTTTCTATGTTCTTACATTTTCTGCGTATGCCCAACTCCCGGTCGTTCTAAATAAAGTTTTTTTGTCTGGTTGTTTTTATGTATGTCACGCGGAAGAAATTGACCAGCTAGTGTTGCGTATAGACTTGGCGAGCATTCGTTTTTGAAATCGGGTTCTTTTGCATTGTCTGGGAGGCAGAAACTTATTTTTCCAATGTGCGTAGAGGAAAGAAAAGTTTTTAATTTGGTTACTGAAAATGTAGTTGAATGTTACTAAAAGTATTAATGAAAAACTTATGCGTTACAACGCATAATTTGAGTAAGCGGTTGTTTCAGCCTCTGATAATTCGAAAGAACCTGAAATCGGTGCTTTTGCACAATCCGCGATGTTTCCATTACAGGCTCACGCCTACATGTTCAAAGTCAATGTGGGAGCTGGCGGTGATTCCTCATTCAGAGCCGATTTCTGCCAACAAGTGAGCTGTTGGAAACAGAGTGGGCGACAGACATTTCGCGCTCAACTGAGGTTTAGATTTCTTGGCGTTCTACTGCGGTGACTGTGGCAAATGCCTGTGTGAAACCCATGCCCCCGCAATGTACCACGCTTGCACCTCGAAGTCGGCGGCCGACCCTCTGTATCAGGTAATCGGGTTTGAAAGAGCATTGTGAAGCGTAACGCACTTTTCGATTAAAATTTTGTGCGTCTGGACTGCTGGTGTGTATATCCCAGAATCGAGAGCAGCCCTATCTGACCAAATTTTATTTTACCACCGTCCCCACAGCGCGTCGACTCGTGTTTTTTTTTTGGATAGACTGGACGAGCATTCGTTTTTGAAATTGGGTTCTTTTGCATTTTCGTGAAGGGGAAAAGTCGTGCTTTATCTGAATCTATCTTTTCTATTCCTAAGCGTAAAAACTAGTTTTTTATGAAAGCAGGCAAAATTTTATTTCCCTACTAACGCTGGCCTGTTTTCGTGCAAAATTTTACCTAAAAAACATCTTGTAGGAGTGTTATATTGCGTCAAAAACGGAGATGGATGTCACACTCATAAAACACTTGCTATTACGTTACTGGGCATTTTTGGGCTTTCTAAACGATTCGTTTCTCTTACCAATGATCTTCTTTTTAGTTCAAGAAGAAACCGATGTGTCCACTCTGCCGCCAGTCAACAGCAAGCATCGCGGATGCGAGCGAAAAGACGCGAGACAAGGCCAACAACCCACCGTGCCCGTTGTGCAAGCCCGAGAAGGAACGGTACATGGAATGGGCGGGGGCAAGAGGACCCCGGTGCAGCGTCCCCGACTGCACGAAGTCTGGGGTGAGATTTAGCGCCCTAACAATTTATTTAATTGGTTTTTCTAGTTTGCGGTGGTGACGTGCAAGTCGTGCCAGAAACCGGTTTGTGTGCCCCATCAAGTACCCGACGAACATGACTGCCGGAACGAGGAGTACGTGGTTTTTTATTGATATTTCGATTACCGTAGTTGCTCTAACACCCAACCTTTTTCGGCGCAAGCCTAGTTTTTTTATAAATAGCGGAGGCGTTTCTACATTGTTTTTAGCTAATTCTTAGCATAAAATTGTACAAATTTTTAATTTAAAATTAATTTTAGGACCGAAAGGTTTTTTCGACCCAAAATGACCAATACAGCATTTTTCTAACTGTTAAAAAGTTTTTCTGTTTTAAACCTAGTTAGAATGTGTTAAAAAGAAGTAAAAATACTTTATTTTGATTACTATGCCAACCGGGGCTGCCAGAAAAAAAATTACGAGTCCAGGGACGGATAAATAGAAGGACGAGGCATGGATTATAGGAAACATAACGAAGATTATATATTTACTGATCACTGCTTTCTATTCAGGTTGCCGAAAAAGCGCACGGGACGGGCGAAGGCGCTTCTCGGGGGCGACAGCTGCGTCATAGCCTGAAGACCCCACCTCCATAACCACTTTCCCATTTTTCATTTTCTGTACAATTTGTCTTGCGCCGCTTTGTCTTTCGGTGGAATTGCTTGTATGTGTATGTTTTTTGCTAACCTATGTCTATGTGAATGAGAGGGAATAAAATAACAAGAGTGTATGGAAGTGGTTTTTATTATTTATTGAGGTATTGCCTGCTGTAGCTGCTCGCCCATCCTCTGGAGCTCTTCATTGAAGATTCGGACGGTACGCAGATAGGCCTCCAGTTGGCTCTCGAAATCCGTGGCGGTGCTGAGGATTGAGTTGTTCACCTTTGTTCCTACGGAATATCGATCTGTTGTATCGACGATGGCCATCGCGCGTTGGTTTGATTTTATTAATTTGGCGATAGTTTCGTCAAGGTACGAATGTACACCGTGAATGTTTCTCGCCAATCCCTCGTAGTGTCCATCCAGATACGCCCGTGTTCGAAGTGCCATCACCTCCAGCTCATATTGGAACAACCGGGCGACTTGGTGCTCTCGATGTCCAAGCGCTGTGCACGCGCCACAAAGACCTTCCTTGCAGCCGGTGCACTGGAAGCAGTAATCGATATCCGCTTCCTTTTGACACTTTTTACAACGCCGATACGTGATTTCGATTTCAGGAGCGGCCGTGTCTTCTTGGGCTACTATTTCTGCTGTACTTGGGCCTAAATTCGCTTTCGGCGACTTTGACCGGCCGAAGCTTTTCCGAATTCGTTCAAGTCTGGTGAATTTCTTGGCTGAATTTCGGGTCTCTACTTCGACTAGCCTGTCGATAGGTTCGTGATCTTTATGGAGGGATATGACACAAAATCCGCATAGACTTTCTACACATTTTGTGCAGTAAAGCATTTCGGCGAGCCAATCTTCATGGCCACAAGCCGAGCAGGTGCGCCTGGTTGTTTCTGGGGTTTGCGGTGTGTTCTTCGACCCTTTTTTCGTGAATGTAAAGTATTCTTGATAGAATTTTGCGACATCACTGTAAGGATTCGCACGACCACGAATTCCACAATCGGGACAGAGGCGCCGGCAGCGCTCGCAGTTGACGTGACCGCACTCTGGAAGGTATGCTGTAGTAATTTTTTCACTTTTTTGGTTGTCAAACTAAACTAACTATTTTTAGCCAAAACCTAGCTTTATTTGCCGGAAACGCTGTTATAAAACTTCGGAAGCCGTTCAAAAATAGAAAGTTTTGAGCAAAATCTAGATTTTTATTTATTTTTTCATGGATTTTCGTAAGGTTTGCTTTCCTGAAGAGCAAAAAAGCTTACCTTAAAAAACTCCTTCGCTTTCAATATTCAGGAAACAGATCCTATGGGTCAAACTAAGTTAACCTCGGAAGTATAGAAAATTAGTTCAGTTTATGGTTTCATAACCTACCCAGAATCATCAGCAAATCGACGGCCTCGCAGCTACGGCAAGTCAACGGCGGGAGATGAGATTTCGCGATCCATTTCTTGGCTTTCAAGCGTACGGCATTCGAATTGAGCAGATCGATGATAAATTGGGCTGGAGCATTTCCTGGTGCCTCATCGATACAGCTGCTGCAGCTTATAGTGCCGTTTTGGCCGAGTATTGGCGTATTTAGGCTGGTTATCTCGGGGCTGAATGGCGCCGAGCAGGTTTCGCAATGCAGGAAAGAGAGCCTTTGTCCCATCGCTCTGAAAGCGGGCGTTTTTTACAGCTGAATTTCTGAAAGTTATGAAGGTCTAGAGAAGCTCATAAATTTATTAAATTAGCGCGAACGCTTTTTTTGCGTTGAAAGAAGCGAGAAAACGAAGCAGAAAAAAGTAGCTGCGACTTATTTTCCGCGCTTAAAAACTGTATTGATAATTTTTTAGAATCGGCAAATCCGGAAACGATAACGCTATAAAACTATTTGATGGGTAAAACAAACGAATTAAGGGGGCGACTAACCTGTTTTTTGTGAGAATGAGGCGGTAACCTGCTCGCTTATGACTCACCAATACTTTTGCAACAGAAAATACACCAGGTGGGGCCAGGTCACCCATCAATTTCGGCGTAGCACAGATACGTATAGTCAGCTCCTTGCGCGAAAACCGGCTGCCTGGCCTGATTTAACGATTTTAACCGTTTAAAATAATATTATTTCTTTCGCATTATCGGGATGGGGAGACTTTATTAAGACATTTTATTAAAAAATCCAAAAAGTTTAAATTTTTTGTCCAAAGATGGCCCCTTCCTGCTGGTGGGGGTTCTTGCAATTTTAACAGCTAAAATTTCAACTAAAACAATTTCTTTAGTAGCTTTATGATTGGTTTTCACTTTAAATAGAGCTAAATTCTACGAGAAACGCTATAAAATAAAAGAATTAATATGAATTAAATATTATTATATAAATTACTAAAGAACTGAAATATTTATTCCTTCGTCGCTGGAATATCATCTGCCGGAGCTGGAGCATTCGGCTTGTACGCCTCCAGCCTCTCGCGCAGCAGGATAAGCTCATCGTTGTATAGACGGACGGCCGGAAAATACGCGTCGCACAGATTCTCAAAAGCAGTTCTGGTCAGCCGCACCTCATCGAAGATGGCTTTCCCGTCGGCAAACGTTTGCTGCTTGTCGACCTCGGTTAACTTCTCCGAGCAGGCGGCGACCAGCTTTCCGGTGCGCTCCTAGATGAAACTTGAAGGTTTTAGAAAATGACTATAGCTAGGTAAGGTAAACCTAACCTTAATTTCGATATGAAGATGCTCAATATTTGCTGCTAGGCCCGTGATATTTTCTGTGATGGGTTTTCGATGGGTTTCGACTAGTTGGCCGAGTTCGAGGCCGAGCATCTCGAACAGCTCGTGCGTGCGATGTTTTCGGACGGCGCAAACACCGCATAATATCTGGTATAAATTTAGCTCAGAGATTAGGTCAATGCCAAAATAAAATCAATAAAGGTCTAAGTAACAAAGGTATACTTTACCAGGTCACACTCGGTGCATCGAAAAAGACGTTCCAATGCTCGATCAAGCGAACATTCGCCACAAAGCTTCACCACCTCGATGACATCGGCTGGTGACGCTTCAGCTGCGGTTTCTAGTAGCAGAAAAATACACCTCTTGAATATTTTTCCGAACCGCCGCCCTTTGCGGATCTATTTTAAAAAAATGCGCGTTTTTCAGCGTGGAAAAACGAATTACACCGTCCGTGGACAGTTGAGCGTGCATTGGAGCGTTTCTAATAGCACAAAAATTAGCTTCTTGAATATTCTTCCGAACCGCCGTCCTTTTTTTAAAATGGGGCTTTTCAGCGTGGAAAAACGAAGTACACCGTCCGTGGACAGTTGAGCGTGCATAGGAGGGTTACATTGCCATTTCCCTATCCGTGCCTTTTGATTAGGGAATGGAATGGCGTTTAGGTTTTAAAATACGATTTAGTAGTCAGTATATAACTTCTCACAACTAACCAACAACGGCCGCTGTATCTTCGGACATTATCGCTGCAAGAAAGTAATGAATTGGGGTGTAGTTGGCTCGTTATCAAAAACCCCGTGGACCCCGTGGCTATTTTCTAGTGCAACAATTTGGACCAGAAAACGGCGCCTCAACCTCATGTGGTTTCGGCAACAAGGAATGTGTATCTACTTTGTTTGTCACGGTGAATCGAGTAATTATTATTTATTAAAAATATTCAGTAATTTTTTCAGTGTCCCCAAGGCCGCGTCTTGCAGATGAACGATGAGGGCTCGCTGCTATCCGTACCATATCCTATAACGTATTTTCGTGATTGATATCCTCGTAAAAATCCCCTGGTTTTGGGGAAACTGATAGCGATTCCGTACCTGGCCCATACCAATCCCCATTGTAGCAGTGACCGCAGCCCGAGCCGCCATCATGTGCACATGTCTATTGGAAAACACGCATTAAAACGAGAATGACGTCGAAGCTGTGTGGAGGTTTTTTAAAGGGGCTCCGAAGTCAAAATCGCGCATGCGGGGATCAACCTACTGATCAAAAACGTAAGAGTTACTGCCGAGAAATACCAGAAAAGTCATTTCGTGGCGAAAAACGTAAAATATTTTAGTAAAACCGAAATATTTTAGGGGCGAAAACGACTTTTTGAGGGCGTCGAACACGTCGTAATGGGCTGTATGGCCCAAAATCTCGTATCGAATGACCAAAATTCGGTGAGGATTCCAGAAAAAAACGCCATTTTTAAGTTCAAGCTTTTCACGTTCAAACCGGAGCGAAAGGTCATGCGTCGCGGCCGCGCTACGGTCGCCATTGGTTATTTGCCAGGAATCAACACTGAGGGGCGTGGATCCGATTTCAGAGCCCCTTTAAACCAGGATAATAGGCCACCTCAAATGCGTATCCCAGGTCGGCAAGAAACAACTTACCAGCAGCACACCATCGTGTTGCCTCCAGACGTAATAGCTATAGTCGACGGGGCTGCCATCAGACCACGACGATATCTCTGAATATGCAATGCTCGTGAAAACCTATCATTGATTGCATAAAATGTTTTATGAACTGACTTCCGTTCCAAAAGACGCCTCCCAGAAGTGCCTCGCCATACTTTTTTCCATAGGGACCCTCTCCGCAGTCATGCCAGGCCACTTTTCCTATACTGCTCATAAGTATCTATGACAATTATCATACTCGCCCTTAAAAAAATATCTGCAACGGAAAAAACTAACGGGCGACAAACTGGGCTTCCATCTCGCTGTGGATCGAGGCCAGGTCTCCCCCGGGGGTCTTTTGACAGTATAGCCTAGCATATTTGTAACTGCCGCCCTCTGTTCCGGCCTGAAAAATGTGGATGGGACCATGACACACACACCCAAAATTAGCGGCAATAAGGCCCTAAGCAACGCGACACTCCTGTTGACTCAAAAATGTGTCGGGTGAAAACTTCTAAGCCTTATAACTTTAAAACTAAAGTGAATTTTAAAAAAAGCTTGTTGCAACTGTGTAGAATGGAACGCGGCAATTCTAATGATAACAAACACTAACAAAACTGAGCTCAGAAAGTATCAAAACGAAGACGGTTTTGGTTGGGGGGCTTTGTGAAAAGTTTCGAATGGCTAACGCGCTGTCTTTGGTATTATTCGAACCGTAAAACGCTACTCCGCAATACTTGATATTGGGTTTTGAATATTAAGTCGACTTAAAAAAGTTATAAGAACTAAACTTTTCGCGCGCGCTCCGCCCGGCTCCTATGGACGCTTTTGCCCCTCCCCGTTCCCCTCGCCGTTTTTGGCCTGTTTAATTGGCCGTCGACCCGAGCGCCATTGAGTGAATCCAGGCCCGTAAGAGGGGGGGGGGGGCGAGGGGGGCGAGCCGCCCCCCCCGAAATCGGCCGAAGGCCGAAAAGTACATAAGGGGGGACCCTTATGATTTAATTTTTCCAAAAAATTTTTTGCCTGCGGCGCTGTTTTTGGCTATTTTTAACACTAGTTTTAGTGTTATAAACCCTATGTTTTCAAAAATTTTGCCTGCGGCGCTGTATTTTTAGTCATATTAGTGAAAAATTTTTGGGGTCGCCCCCCCCCCCCGAAATTTGGGTTTGTTACGGCCCTGAGTGAATCGCAAAAAGACGCTATTTCAACGAACGCCGCCCTAAAATCCATAAACCTTGAAACGCGTTAAAAGGCAGTGCGACCAAAATTTTGTAAGGCTTGATAAATTTTTGAGCCGGCGTTTGCTCGATGTCGCTTTTCACGGTTCGATTAAATTATGCGCGTCTGCGCATTGTCATGGTTATACCTAAAAATATTTTTGCGCAAAATAATTCTAAAAGCAAACAAACTCACATAGTAGCACTGGTTTGTGTCAGAAAAGTACTGCCAGCCCGACGGGCAACCTGAAATCGCTGATCACGAATCGAGAGCCGGTTCTACCAAAGGTGATAGCGCATATCGAGTAGAGCGTCGTGTTGCAGGGGGTGGCGTACCATTTTCCAGTCGTCAGATCTATCGAGGCGCATAGGCCTTGATCAGAGGTATAGGAATAGAAATATTGCAGAAACCCTTATAAAACCTTCAATATGCTATTCTTATCTTATTTAATGCTCCAGTTACATCCTATTAAATTTTATCTGCTCAATTTTTGGAAATCCCGTAAATAATTTCCATACTTTTTGCCAAAAGTATAAGCAAGAACATTTGAAGCCCCGATAAAATATGAAAATCGTACCATAAATCATTTAAAACTCCAACACAGCCTCTCAAATATATCTTGCTGAAAGCGGAGCCGTCGGATGGCATCAATTCTGTATATAAAACATATCTGTAATATTCCTATGCCAAACATAATTTTATTTATCGGCTTTGCGTGCTATGCTTTGCCGCCTGGGGGGGCCGAAACGCACCCCAAAACGCACCCCCAAACGCACCCCGAAAGACACCCCGGGGTGCGTTCAAAGGCACCCGGGGACACTATTAATGCACCCCCGAGGGAGTGGGGTGTCTTTCAAACGCACCCCGGGGTGCGTTTCAAACAGACCCCGGGGTGCGTTTCAAACAGACCCCGGGGTGCGTTTCAAAGGCACCCCGGGTGCGTTTCAAAGACCCCCTGGGGTGCGTTTCAAAGGCACCCGGGGTGCGTTTCTTGGGGTGCTGTCCGACACTACCTGCCGCTACCATTTACCATAACTCCGTGGTTTAGGGCCCCAAAAAAGATGCGTTGCTGATAAGACAACCACATTCCGGACGACATGGCCGAAAACGCCCCGCATTTACCACCACCCTGCAGAAGCCTTATCACTGAAGTAAATGAACCAAGACTAAAGGTTTTCGGGTAGAGCTCGAGAAAAAACCGCTCACAAAGAGATATTTTTTTAGTGAAAATCGAGTTCCGGTACGGGACCAAGCCTGGCTTGTGCAGAACTTTGCGCTCATTTCGCAGCTGGTTTAAAATCTGCCAAAGGATCAGATTCAAAAAGTTAAGAACAGGGCGAAAAAATCAGGAATTTAGCGAAATTGGGCTATTTTTTACCCTTTTCGCACTTAAATCCTTCATAATTTTTTGAATCAGCTAGTTTGGCAGATTTTGCACAAGATAGGCTTGTTCCCGTACGGGAACGCGGTTGACTAAAATGACCCTCACTTTTTGCAAAAGGATTGGCGCCGAAACGCAAAAGCGCGGAAGTGCAGAGAACAAAACTGTTTCGGTGCTTGGTTTTATTGAAACCAGGTTAAAATTATTCAAACCGGCTTGGTTTGACTTGGAAATGCTGGTTCAAATCGGGTGTGGTTTCAATATGTAGAAACCATTCCCACAATCATTTAACCCTTTCAACCCGAAAAACGTAATCTCCAAAATTCGTTTCAATTTATTTGAGCGTACACACACTTACCGAATTTTTCACTTCCTCATTAATGAGAATTTTTATTGAAGTCTTCCTCTGCCAAAAATTTATTAAAGCGAGCGTTTTGCTTCCGATTTTCAATGTCCCCAGGGGCGTGTCTTGCAGATGAAGGCCTCGTACTGCTTGCTGCTCGAGGCTGTGTAACCTGAAAACGGATCAGGCTAGCGGGCCGCAACTAATGGTTCTTTTGCATTATCGGGGGGGGAAATTAAGAAAGTTCGTACCTGGCATGAACCAGTCCCCGTATGAGCAATTGCCGCAACCCGGCTCGCCGCGGTGAGAAGTCATCTGTAACGGAATGCATCAAAAGTGGCAGCTTGTAATGAGAATTAAGGGCTTCCCGATCCAGTACGGGCTAAAAAACTGCAATCGATGAATTACACTTATAAACTTAAAATTAACGAAACTAATTAGAAACAACCCTTACCAGCAGAACACCCGACTCGGAATTGCACATCGTCTGCTTGAAGGTCGTCGAAGAACCGTCAGACCAACTCAGGACTTCTAACGAAAGGTAAGTATTAGTTGGTACTGGGCTGTTAGCGGGGGGAGGTTAGCGGGGGAACGCAAATTTTTGTTTTTGCGCCTACCTGAAGAAATACATCGTGTAGTTGTACAATATTTTCGTAGTTTTGACCAGACATGGCAAGTGGCCGCGGCCCGGCCCGGCCGGCCCGGCCGTAGCTACCCATGGCCGGCCGCGGCTGGCCGCATATGAAATTAGCATAAATCCCGGCCACCGCGGCCGTCTCCAAAAAAGAGTCTGGCCGGCCGCGGCCGGCCGCGGCTGCACCATGGCGAAAATAATGACCTATTTTTAGGATTTCGAGTTGAATTTTACTGATTTGCATGATTTCTGAAAAGGAAAAAGGCAACGAGCAGTTCATTGCAAAAGCCGCGGCCGGCCGCGGCCGGCTGCGGCCCCAGGACGTTTTTGCGGCCCGGCCCGGCTGCGGCCATGGGTAATTTTTGCGGCTTTGCGGCCGGCCCCGGCCGTGAAAAAAAATTTGCATGCGGCTTCCGGCCGGCCGCGGCGGCCGTTTTGCCATGTCTGGTTTTGACTGCTCGAAAGTTTAAAAACTTTGTTTGGAAAATTCGAAAATTTCGACTTTTTAGAATTTCCATTAATTTGTGACACGAAAGTAAAAATTTTTCGAAAATTATTATTGTGTTTTGTGAGTTTTTTATATCTGTGGGCTTGGTCCCCCAGCTAAGACTTCCTCCCGCCCGCTAAAAGTCAAGTACCAATTTTTGCGAGACCTACCTCCTCTTCCCATCGTGGCCCCAAGGAGCGCCTCTCCATTATAGCCCCCGTATTGGCCCCTACCGCAGTTCTGCCAGGCTACGTATTCTAAAGTCGAATGCTTTCTGAAGTTATTATTTTCATAGCTCAAATATTATTATTAGTAATCTTTTAATAAATCTTGAAATTAAATAACGGACGGTTGACAAAATCGGACTCCAGGTACGAGTGAATCGAGGCCAGATCACCGCCGCGCGTCCCTTGGCAATACGAACGGGCTTGCTGGTAGGTTTTGCCTGGAGCGCCATTCTAAATGGTACCGGGCTAATATCGAATTTACACCTTTTCGGGTTCTGGACTGTTAGCGGGGGGGGGGGCGGATTTTTAGCGGGAGAACCAATTTTTCCTAGTTTTGCTCTAAGGCCCTTTAACGAAATATAAACCATTTTATAGGATTTTACATAGTTTTTTTGAAAAAGAAAAAAGAAAGAAAAAAAAAGCTTAGAAATTTTCGAAAATTTACGACATTTTGGTTCAATATGTAAAATGGCCAAAAATGGTAAAAATTTTCGAATTTTCTGCCATTCAAAATCCACCAAAAACGCTAGAATAATACATTATATTTATTATCAGCCGGCAAACGTGGAAAAACAAAAACTAGTCCCTCTCCTGTTAACAGTCCAGAACCCAGTTTCATACGTTATATGCCCAACTTACGTAATAGCACTGGTTGGTGTAATCAAAGTCCTGCCACCCGCTCGGACAACCTATAAAAACCGCACATTTTGAGGCATGCCGTTACAAAATTTGATAAACTACTATAAATCATACCAAATGGTACCAATCATACCAATCATACCAGGCGGGAAACATACCAAACTTGACGCCACACGCATAGACGAGCGACTGGCTGCAATTCGTGGGGGTACCACTGTTGATTTGCAACGTTCATTGCCGCGCAT